AAGTATTTTGTCAAAGGCAGATACATGCTTTTTGCAATCACATGCATAAATACCCATACATATTTCCTATTTATCATTTCCGGCATGTGCAAATCTTTAATTTCTGTGCGTTCACTATATTTTTCGTGTAAAGTAATTTACACTAATTTAGCATACATCCGAAAGTTTTACATAAAAAATATATATGAATATAATTTGAATGAAAATTATAAGTATTATTTTTAATACCCACTCAAAGGTCAGTTTTTGTTCAAAATTCCCCCACGATGGCATCTCTCTCTTTAGGCAGAAAGCCCTTGCATGCGTTACTCTATTTAATAAAACTTAATCTGACCTATGTGTAATTACAAATTTTAAAACTATTTATATTAATTTTTCAGAAAGTTCAACTCTATGTTAAATTATTTTAGCAAGTATTTTTCAAATCCTCAGTTACAAAATACCGTTTTTGGAAGTGAAATAAATGTATATTTAAGGCTCCTCTAAACCAGGCTGAATCACCAACTTTTCTCTCTTGGCGAGGGAGTGAACGCGCTGCCAATTTTGGCGCGTTTATCGCACACGCTGGCTGAATGTCTGCTGTTTTTTTAAAGATTTATTTTATAGACGCGCGGCATTCAGCGCATATAAACTTTTCGGATAATTTATTAATTCTCGAATAGTATATAGACTTTTTCACTTATATAAAAATTCCGCGTATATTTGGTAAAAATATTCAAAATAACTAATGCTTTAGATGTTTCAGTTTAGTTAGCAGACTAAATAAGATATGAATAAAAACTTTCAATAGTGTCAAATGGGGAAATAGTTAAAACATAGAGTATACAAATAAATTTATCTTAATGACATTTTAACAAAAATTTCCATAAAAACACTGTAAATTCATACTAAAAAAATAACTTAAGAATATGTTGTCATTTAAGTCTGAGGTATATGGAAATAATTGTGCAAGAAGAAACACTTTCTTTTAAATGTGTGAAATATTTCATAACATATATGGAAGAAGAAAGTACAGCATTCTGTGTTTTGGATGCTTTTCATCAAATGTAATATAAATACGAACTAGAAACCGTAATAAAAAGTCCTTCCTCTTCAATCAGATCACCTTTGTGTTGCATTGTATTTGTAATACTTCTAAAAATCCAATTTTTTTACCTAAATTAAAAAACAGTTATTCCATAAAAGATAATAACTTTGAACGTATATAGAATGAATTTTGTAATTTGAGTTATGTTACAAAATAATTCATAGTTTATATATTTTATACTAATAATTTAGATAAAACCTGTCCAATTTAAGAATGTGTGTGTTAACCACATTCTTAAATTGTAAAAGGACGACTTAACCACATGTAATTCATTTCAAAGCATAAAAGAAAGCTTATTTTTTATTTTACACAGCAACAGCATTTTCATGCAGTCAAGTTTTTTTTTAACTGCTAGTTATTATACATAATACTTAATTTTAAACCCATTCTTATTAGAAAGCATAACTAAGAAACTTCTTTTTAAAGCACCACAGTGATTGCAAAGAATGTCGTTAAATTTACAAAAGTATTGAAGATATATTGAACAGCATTATAACAAGAAAGTACTGTACAAAATATGTAAATTTAGCATAACTTCTTTTTTAGTATTTGCATAGTTTTCCTCCAAATGAACCTTAATGGGAAGTTATCTTGCGAAAATTTAAAAGTATTAAAATGGCCTCTATTTAAGATGTAACTGCATTTATAATTATTTTGTAATTGCGAATAGATTATATTATTGCAATTAGATTATGCACTTACAACATAATTGCATAAAGTAATGAAATTAAGAGTTCACAGATACAATGTAATATAATTACAATGCAATTACCTAAATTGTAATTATAATCACTTATTTAATACCACAATATTATTACAATCACAATGTAATTTAAATTGGGTACTATATTTGCATACCCTCCACTCAAAAGGAGGTACTGATAAGCCTGGAAGTTATTATCAACAAAAAGCCTGTTCAGGACAGTTTGATGACAATTTCCACCGGGCGAAAAGTACATTCTTAAGCCCAGGCAAATCATGACAATAAAAATCATTTAGTCTTATGATTCACTATATTTTAAACCCTAAATTTGAATTCTGCACCAAATTATTTACCTATATTTTAACATACTTTATGAATTATTAGAAGCGATATGGCAAATATCTTCTAAAAATAACTGTAAAATATTTGTATCCATTAATTGATTCAGATACACACTTTTATTATTTAAGTACATCAAAATAACAGTTTCATGTTCCTGAAATACAAAAATTATGGGAAAAGTTAAAGTAATATTCTTAGAAGCATATGATATTAGTCACAAGATAAAAATTAGTTATTTTTTTTTCCCTAAATACAATTTTATTACACAGTAGTCAAATGTGTAACTTAATAACATGTTATATAAAAAATTAATGATAATAAGTTTATCAGAAATGAATTAATTCTGCAAATAAACTTTCTGCACTTGAAAATTTTCTACACCTGAGGGGAGGGAGAGATCTAGTAAAATTAGATTTATTATAACTTCAGTTGGACCAAACACCTTCTCTCTCTATATATATGCATCACTAAAGAAATAAATAAAATTATCATGCTTAAAAAACAGATATACCATACCAGTTTTTTTTCCCCCTTGTTACACTTTACATTGAGAAATAACAAACAACACTGAAAAATACTATCCTTGAAATTTTGTTTAAATGAAGAAAACACACACCATCTTTTTATTTAAGCATTACACTTCAAAAACAGATACACATACCAATTTATTTTCACTAGCCTTTATACTGATAACATGCCATATAAAAATGAAAAGAATTATCCTTGAAATTTAGATAAAATGAAGTAACACAATGGGAAAATTTATGCACACGGACATCTTTTTTCTATTGCATGTTGTCTGACATGATCCACAAGTGCCTAAAAATGTACCCAAAGAAACGCATTTCAATATTAACAAAAAATTGTTTACAGATTAAAATTCATTCATTTCATACCAGTATTATAAAGATCATGCATGAAACAAATCTGCTTTCCCATACTTTTAAGTAAAACTTTTTATACTGGAAAATAGACTATATTTTCTATATATTAGAAACAAGAAAATACTAATTTGAATGTTCTGCATTCATTTCTAAATCTTTACTCCATTGCCAAATTGTATAATACTGTGATTATAAATAAACTTGCACAATCCTTGCAATTATTGAAGTCAGATTATATATATTTTGTCTCACACTATTCAATTTATTCTATTGACTTCAGATGTCAATGTCAAAATTCTGGAAGTTATTTTAACCAAGAAACAGTAGTGGGCACCGTGCATAAACAACTCATCTAACTTTTTAACAATAGTGATTATAAAATAAAGAAAAAAATTATATATCATTCCAACGATATTGCAACTATAGTATAATGTTACATATATCTTTAGCAAACATTCAGATTTTATCTTGACTTTCCAAATTATTATTTATTTTTTAATAAATTTCAATATGCTAATGATTTTCATGTTACATTAGTATAAATTCCACAATTAGCACAGGAAAACAAAATCCGCGCTTTATATTAGAAGAGAAATTTCTTTTCCACATTCAAAACATCTACATTGGCGATGTTTGGCGACGGGTACATTAACCCTAGACTAATTTAATTATAGCTATTATTACAGAAATTAGCAGATACTCAGGTTATTGTACACAAGAATTTCACTTTACTTGCACATTATAAACATCAGAGAAGATATAAACTCTAAATGAAGGCGTAATTAACATTATACTTACTAAGCAAAGTTCAGCGCCTGGACCAGGTTTCCAATTGTCTCTTCGGCAATTATTTACCCATATTTTTCTTCTTTCTTCATTTTTAGGAAATTTTACCAATGTATGACCTTTCCGTGAATGATTTGAACAATTAATAGCTGTACATCCGCCCATTTTACACAAAAAATTTTTGCACCGTAACTACACAGCCGCCATTAAATCTCCGACTTGGGAGCGTGAATGCCTGATGATTCAGCCTGGTATATAGGAGCCTTACATCACACTATGAATGTTTCTTTCATGCGAGAGTGTCCCTTTTTCGATTTCTATGGAACTGTCGTGTGTTGAAATACTATCAGAATTTTGTCAAGCGAGCTTCTGAATGTAAACAAAAAACACCCCGTCTGGTGATCGAAGCTTCAAAGCAGTGCTTCACTTCTAGCGCGGAATGGCCCCTCCTCCCTTTCCTACCTCCATGATACCGTGGTAGTTGCCAATCTTTGATGAAATTTAGAATTCCGGAACTTATCGTCTCCAACTGGAAGTACGTAAAACTTGCGTCATGAAGTGCAAGGCGGTTTTATGTTTACATTATAATTGCAGTGTTGCAACATTGTAACTGAAGTGTTGTATATGAAAAATTATGAGAAAATTTTTTTATCAACATTTCGGTGTTTGAAAAATATGATTAGAGCAGTTTTAATATTTAACATTCATGGAATGGCGAGACTTACAAAATTTTATAGTCATTATGTAAGGTTCACAAATTTTCTTCTTGGTGTAAAATGCTTTAATGCTGTTGCAAGTGCAAGATTTTATTCATCTCTAAAACGGCGTAACTTATATTTACCAAGATGATAATCATTTGAATATTAGTAAAATTTAAATGCATTTAATGTCTGATTGAAAGTATGTGTTATAGCCGATTTTTCTCTTTGTGACTTTTCTGGAATTGGGAAATTTCAAATTGGAATTTGCCAAGTATTTGTGGCGTTATTGATAGTTTTTACGGCATATACCTTATTAGAGAAGGATTGTCTTGTAACAGTCACATCTGAATAGAAATTTAAATCATTTAATCGTTTGAATGAACAACTGAAGCAGTTTTATGCTGCTGCTAACTAAAGAGTACATTTTGCAGGGTTAAGAGTCTGTGTAAGGAATGATATATTATCACTTGAGTAATTTATCAAAACATTTTGTTCGGAAGTAAATGATGTAGGGTATTTTGAATAACAGTGATAAAGTCGCAAGCCCCCATATTATTGAATAATAAATTCTTGAAGTTTTAATGGAATTACTATTAAAAAAATGTTAGATTCTAATGTTAGGACACAGATAAACATTAACATGTGTAGCTTACATTTATTTCAATATGATTAAAATAATATATAAAAGATATGATAAATAAATTATTTTCTTGTGACATTAAGTATATTTATCAAACTAGGTTGCTTGGAAATTTCTTGTTGAATTTATATTACAGGTACTTGCATCAGGTATCTACTGTTTGTTTCTAATTCATTTTATTATTGTTATTTGATAGTGTTATATTTATTAACAGTACACAATGCTTTGGTAAGATGTGATAACATTATAAACTTTCATTATAGATGCACATGTAAGGATTTCTTTGATCATAAAAAGTGGTACATTAAGTAAGTTACTTAGCATTTCATTGAGGGTAAAGAAGATTGGAAATTTCATGATTAAGTCGCTAAACTTAAACAGTTAATTTGGAAATTCAGTTTCGCCCCCTGGTTATAAAAATTTAAAGAAAATTGCATTTGCTTCTTTTGTCTGAGGAGCTGTCCAGCATCCAAGCCGTCTGAGCAATGAAATACTGATTCTTTACGTACAGTTGAGTTTTTCATTTTCATTAATGCAAAATGAATTGGGTTCTTTTTTAAAAATTCTTCCACAAAGGTGTTTTTTTTTTCAGATAATTCATGAGTGCTATTGAAACAGTTAACATGTTTTTTATAACACGTTAAAGAAATAAAATTTGAGATCTATGGATTTTTATACAGGAATACATGATTTCTTTCATAAGTTCCGTTTTAAGTTTTGACCAATACATCAAAAAGCTCTGTGTGAAAACTTTTATTATTAATCAGACCTTCATATTTTGTTTAAAATTAAGAGAAAATGTTGAATTTTTTAAAGGATAGTTTTTATCTTAAAGGATTACAGTTTTTAGGAAAAGGAACTAGTTCATCTACATGAGATATGTAAACTTATGTAAGCATTTTATATTTAAGTTTAATTCAAAATATTACTGTGTTCAGAGTTTCATGAAGATTTCAAGAATTTTATTAATAGTTTTCAATTGCATGAAATTTCGAGAAATTTTGCCGACTTTAAAAGTGACTTTGAATTTTACCATTTGTATATACGTGAAAAAATTAAATATGCATCAAATGCATATCCAAAAATTTTTGGAAATATGATATTGTGAATAATTTTTTATTTAATATATATATATTAACTTTAAAAAGGAAAAAATTTATTTTCAGCTACTAAAAATAATGTTCAATGCTTTTCTGTTGGTTTAAAATTGGTCTGGCATCATTAACCTGTCAACTCTTGTGATCCTCATTTTGCAGTTTTCTCACCCTTCCTGTGCAAAGTTTAATATTAAATTTAGCTACATATTAAGTACTTTTTGACATTGTTATCCAAGCCCTATCTATAATCATGCATTCGTCTCAAACTTTTTTTTTTTAAATTCATAATTTCAGTCTTTTTAAAAAATATTACATGATATTGCTAAGTATTGTAATTTCATTCTTAGGTCTCTCTTTTATTTTTCTATTTATGTATTAAATTAAAATTTTATTTAATATAAATTTTAAAATCATTTATTTTTTAAAAATAATTCTTAAATATTCATTTTAACATTTAGATATATGTGAATAACTTTCAGTTTTAAAGACTGGTTTTATTTTGTCAGGAAGGTTGCTTTATGACAGATCATAAAGAGTACTTGATTCTCATTTGAGAATTATGACAGATTCTGTCAGAAACATTTTGCATTTCGTTCCAGATTCAAATTTGTTACTCTAAAGCACCTTCTATTACAGTGATCAAGAAAATGATTAATTCTGTAATTTTAAAGTTTCTTGATGGTATGAATAAAACCATTTGTATTGTAATATACAGATGAAGTAATGAATGTGTTTCTGAGATGCATTTTCACCCTGATATTATGTAGTTTAAAAATGTATGTTATGCTAAAAATAGAACTGTGAAATAATTATACAGTCTTAAAAGAGAAAAAAAAGAAAAAAAAAAAAAAAAAAAGTGACATTCTAAGGCAATTAGTTAGATCTCTAACTATGAGATTTTATTTAAAAATTCATGAAATTTCTGTAAAAATATTTATTAACTTGCATTATACTTTATTCTGCTACCCAGATAGGATAGTAGTTAGCGATGCTGATTGTCGTACTGAAGGGCCTGGGTTTGAATCCCAGAAAAGCATAGATGTTTATAAATGTATATTGTCTGTGTAGTGTAGAGACTCTCAAAATATGCAGTGAGCCAAAAGTCCTTGAGTATAGTATAGTAATGTATAGTGGTAGGGGAAGAGGGGTGGAACTCTCATGAATTGGACCAGACCCTCTTCAGAAAATACTTGGACTTGTCCTCAGGCGTGCTGTTCTTCAAAATTGGGTGTGGAATTCAGAAAAGTTGTACTGTCACTTATATGGCTGTGAGGTTCTTTTAATTTGAATAACCTGTTATTTGTGTTTTGAATCTATACTGTCACTTCTCTCTTTCTTTTTTTCCCACCAGAATGGAAATTAGTTCATGTGTATTGAAGTGAGGGTGTGAGAGTGTTAAGGTCAGTGCTTAAATTGCGCCAGAGCTCACCGAAGCCCTAAATAAGAAGGCTGCAGCACTTCTTTTATGTAATTGAATAACAATTTCAGTAGAAATTTTATCTCGAAAATATTATTTTCTGCAATAAAATTATATAAAAAATTGCTTATTAAATTTTAATTAAAATAAATTACAATTCTAGCCAGAGCGCACCGAAGCCCTAAATAAGAAGAGCTCCGGTACTTCTTTTTATAAAACTAAGCCACAATTTCAAGGAAGAAATTTTAGAATTTCTAACATTTTAGTTTAACAATAAGCATATCTTGCAATACTCTATTTCCCTAGAAATATAAGAACATGAGACGTTCAAGTAAAGTCCCCTCATTCACATGTGGAAACCTTTTCCTTTAAGAAGGGCAATAAATTTGGGGGAGTTTGTTTAGGAACACGTAAATTTCTCGCCATGCTATCGTATCTTTTGTGTTGTTGATGGTTACAGTTACCGTATTTGACGGCATATAAGATGCACTTTTTTTCCTAAATTTGGTCTCAAAAACGTTATCTGCATCTTATACGTGAAGGACACAGTCTGAAACGTGAAGGTAATTGCATTCAATAATTGTTTATTTGGCTTTTACGAAACGTGAGACCTAAAAGAAACCACGCTATTGAAACTTTTTTTCCTTGTGTGTGACCGTCTAAATAAGGGTGTGTCTTATATGCCGTCAAATATGGTAGTTATAATCACAAGAAAGAAAATTTGAGTTCTTAAATATGCATTAAGTGACAGCGAGTACAATAAGAGTGAAATACTGAGATAAACTGCTCAAGCACATCCTATACATCGTCTTCCCACAGTATCCACTAATGTAACCAAAATGGGGGGGGGGCAAAAAAAGCATAACCAGCAACTTTACATTCATCCTTAGGAGTCAGATTCAGGACTCATTTTACACCTGACACACATTCGCTTGTTGGCTATAATTATAACAGCAAAGTGCCGCGGTTAAAGAAAACGTTCTTTCTCACCAAGATTCCCCTCATGTTTTGTTTCCACCCACTCATCCCCTCATTCTGTTTCACCCTGTTTAAGTATATTTAATTTTTGTGATAATAAAAGAACTTCCCCCCCCCATGATCAGAGCTTAAATTGCGTCGTATCCCGGCTCCGCTGCTTCTTAGCTTTTGTAATAAATCATAATTCTAGCCGGAGTGCACAGAAGCCCTAAATAAGAAGGCTGCGGCACCTCTTTTATGTAATTGAATAACAATTTCAGTAGAAATTTTATCTCAAAAATATTATTTTCAGCAATAAAATTATATTAAAAATCGCTTATTAAATTTTAATTTATCTCTTTACATTTAATTTACTTTTAATCATTTAATTACTTTAATTATTTCAATAAATTAGCTAATAATTATTGATTAAATAACAATTATAAACATTAATTAATTTGATATAATTACTATTTAATTTTAAAATTATTAATGAGTTTAATAGTCATTTTATTTATTTATTTACTCTTGTTCCTCTTTGCTGACAGTCTTCCATAAGGCTCCGGCACTTTTAATTTTAGAAATTAAGTCCTGGTTAAGATGAAGCATGTTCTGCCACTCGTGCCTTTGATATTGATTTGCTGCTTTAGATAAGGGTTCGGTACTTCCGTATTAATGCCACCGCAGCAGAAGTTGTGCTGATGCGCCAATAAAGAGCAATCCTATTGTTCACACGCAGTTATCTTTTGGATTCCATTTTGCCTTGTTTGCTGATTTTTGACGGAATTTTTTAATGCTACAAAAATGCGTCTTTGGGATTTGCCAACCACAGAAGAAAATGCAATTTTATTTTTTCAGTAGCGAAATATTTTACCAAAAAAATGAAAATGTTCATGAACCAATGCCAATTTGCATGATATGAAGCTTTATTTTGGTTAAACGTATGTTTTGGAAATGTAATTTAAGACAGTGTGATCAGCAAGTGGAACTTAGAAAAGACAGCTGGTTTGAATGAAGCAGAATTCCATTTTGTTCAGCTTTGAGATCCATATACTGCTGGTGCAAGGAGTTGACGTTGATTAAATTTTGTGAAAAGCAACTTGATTTATCGGATAAAATTGTTATAGATTGGAACAATTACATGCGTGAATTATGCATCTTGCATATGGAGAATAAACCAAACAAGAAGGTAGGTGGACCAGATTGCATTGTGGGAATTGATAAGTGTTTGTTTACTAAGCGTGAAAATAAGTGTGGTCGACTATCATTACCCGAACAGTTGATGTTTGGTGGTATATGTAGAGAGACAAAAGATTTGTTTGGTGTCACTGTCCCTAATAGAACTTGCTCTACCCTTCTTAATAAAATTATTGAAAATATTGCAGATGGTAGCACAATTTATTCTGACAGTTGGAAAGGTTACCAAACAAATAGAATAGGGAAAAAAAAAAAAAAAAAAAAGGATTCCTTCATGCTAAAGTTAATCATAAATACAATTTTATTGTTCCTGATACAGGAGTTCATACACAAACAGTTGAGAGAATGTGGAGCAGTGCTAAATGGAGGAATAAGAGACATAGGCGGACAGCGAGGCATCATTTAGAATCTTATTCAGCAGAGTTCATATGGCGACAGCATCAGGTCAAAGAAAATAGAAACTGTTTTGAGTCTATGTTAAACTTTATATCGGCCCATTTTCCACCAAAATCCGATTGACTACTTTGATTTTAAATAGTATTTTAATTTATGATTTGTCGCAAAAATGTTAGGTGTAGATTGGCAGCACTTAAAAACCACCAAATCTGCATCTGCGGTGGCATTAATACGTAAGTACCAAGAGTTCCTGTTTTTGTCCTTGCATCATGATTACCGATAGATGAAAACCTTACTGGTGAAGTTCTGAGCCAGCATCACATTAAATTGCTCTGTATAGCCTTTGGCTATTTCTTATTTAAATTTAGGCTTTACATTTGATCTACTGCTTTATATTTCTTGCCATAAATGCTCGCAGATTTGTAAGCAGCAGGAGTCTCTTCTGCTCCTTAGCAATAAATCGCTTAACATCTACATAGAGTTTAACATTGGATGATACCCAAGAGAGTTAAACTTTACATGGTGCTCAAAACTCATGCCAGTGATTGACACAATCTGGAATTCCTTGCAAGATAAAACTCATAGTCTTGTTCTAATTAGGTTACGTGAGTGAGATTAATGACAGTAAAATGACAATGATGCCTTATTCTCTTCTATCATTTTAAATTTAGTTTGTGCTGCTATACAAACACTGATCTCAGTGCTTGACCAGCGAGTCTTCACAAGGCCATCATTTGTTACAGCTTTCAGTATTTATCATGATCCTTCTGAATTTTGTTTGCAGAGTTAAATCTTGTGCCTTTCTATTTCATTTTTACTGTGAATTTTCGTAAGAGAAAAGAGTTACAGGAAGTTTAATCATGAGAATAGAAATAGTGAAAGATAACTTTCATTTTAATCGGTATGGCAGATGCATTTGTGATACTAATTTTCCAGCAATTTTTCTTGTATGTTATACTTGCCATACATTTTGCTGATAGGGGTTGTTGAATTATCTGACAGCTTTGCAGACACCTTGAATCTTCTGCTATCTTTTAGAATGATTTTGTGAACTTTTAAAATATTCTGTTGAGTATGTGTAAAAGTTCTACCTCTTTGTGACAGGTTGCTGTGAAAAAGTGTTTTGACAGAGTTCATGGTGCTCCAAGAGCTGGAATTGGTTTTATGTTATTAGGAGAACACTACAGCAGCAACAGGATGTGAGTGTGAACTAGTGGCTTGTAACTGTATAGAGTGCTGTGCCAGTCAAATGGAGACCAATAAGGAACACATCAGACACTCTTTACTGTTCGAGTTCAATAAGGAAAGTACTGCAGCCTTGGACTGCTGCAACATTAGGCAAGTGTTTGGTGAAGATGGAATTGAGGAAAGGTCATGTCATTACTGGTTTTGAAAATTGAAAATCGTTGACAGAAGCTGTCAAGATCAACCATGGTCTGGGCTTCTATCAGCAAATTCTGAACAGGGTCTTGACCAAGTCAGTCAAACAAAATTCGGCTGCAGAGGAATTAGCAGAAACCTTCTAGGTACACAGAAAAACTGTGGAAAGAAGTCTGGTGAAACTGAGTTTCACCACAAAGCTCAGTTTGAGTAGAGGCGAGTCATGATGTGTGTTTTCTTGCTTTTCCTCTATAGAGACGACGACTTCTTCACACTCATTATCATAGGTGATGAGAAGTGGGTTATGTACCAGAATGGGAAATGTCACAGGACTGTGTTATGTTTCTGAACTGCCTTCATTGATGTCCAAATAAGAACTTTATCCCAAGAAAGTGTTGTTGAGTGTGTGGTGGGATGTGAAAGGAATTATTCAGTGGGAGGTTTTGGAACTTAATCAAACCATTAATGCAAGCTTCTGCTATCAACGGCTGGATAGTCTGTGAGAATCATTGCAGTTGAAGTGGCCAAGCCTTCTCAATCACCGAGGGTTTATCATTGAACATAATAACGATAAGCCATATACTGCTGTGATAACATGTTAGAAATGACTAGACTTTGGTTGGGAGGTTTTACCCCCCACATAATATTTCCTTGTCTTGGCTGCCATAGACTTTTTTTGCTCTTTGAAAAATTCTTTTACTGGGAAAGCCATTGATGATTTGGAAGCTATGTAATTGTCTTACGCTAGTTCTTCAGCTCTAAATCTGAGGGGTTTTATCAACATGGGATTTATTTACCAGAAGATAAAAAGAAGTCATTGATCATAATGGTGATTATGTGTGTCCTAAATGAGATCTGGTTTGTGTTGTTTGCGCTTGTATATGCATGTGAAAAATGGGTAGAATTTTTGCATATATCCCCCTTCCCCCAATATGTTATTTGTTCCAAAGGATATTATTGTTTTTAGTTTACTTTAGCTGTTTAAGAAATAGTTAAGCAATCGATAGGTTTCTGATTGACTAAAAACATTTTTATCAAAAACTTGCTAAGCTTTTTATCTGTTCTGTATTATACTTATGTGGTCTGTAAAAACATTAAATGGGCACATGTTCTTCCATATCATTCATTTTTACATTTGATAAAAATGAAAAAAAGTGTCAAAAGTGTGTTAGCAAAACGTTCACCGAGAAAGGTATATTTGACTATGTCTAGTTGAGTAAATAAGAATATAAATGGCAGGTGACATTTTTGACAGTTTTTTGTGGACTTTAAGGCAGCAGCTCCTAGGTGAAGAAAGCTGAAGCTTACAGTAATACTTCCTCTGATTCTTAAGAAATCACAGAGGAAAAATAGTCTGGATAGGATTCTGCAGATAACTGTTGGTAGTATTTTAGTTTTGATCAGTTCAGCAATACCAGTACTTGTAGCAGCATTTTAAGGAATCAGTGTAATTCTGAACTACGTTTTGAAGTTTTAAATGACAGTATTAAGAAACTTAATAAAAACATAGCTGCTGCTTGAAGACAAAAGATTTTAATGTTATTTAAAAAAAAAGAATGATAGGTATTTAGTTGATAAAACATATATATATGTCTGTGCAAATGTGTGTATTTTATGTATGTATATACACACATATACATATAACTGAGTACACCATGTTAGCTAATAAAAACATCTGTCATGAAAGGAAGCAGTTAGTAGATAAAAATGCAGTAGAATGGAAAGGTGAATGATTAAAATTTTAGGTAATTTTGAGGTACAGAACATGTAGAAACTGGTAGCCTGAGCATCTGTTATATGGCTGGGCATGGGGATGGCAGTAATGGGTATTGCAGCCCCTGCAGCTTTAATATGTCTGAGTTTATCTGTGGTACTGGCTGTCAGGTGTTGCCATGGGAGTCTCTATGCAACTGTTGACCAGACATTTTCGGTTGGTGAGTGATCACTAAGTCCTGCCTAATGAGGAAACATAGGCCATCCTGAAGATGTGACACAGCTGCAGTCATCAAAACCTCAGTAATGTAATGGTGGCTCATCAAAGTTTCAGGTTCAGAGCTTGAGGTGATCAGGATGTGTACCTTGTGGCATCTATATAATCAGTCCAGGTGTGTAGGCATTATGATGATGAAAAATGTAAACTTCCAATGGTAGTTTCCCTTGGTACCTTCATATATGAACATGGCCATCATAATGCTGTAAGGAAAAGCGTAATTTGTGAGAAATGATGGTGTCATGCTATTGATGGATCAATATATGTTACTGACTGCATTCCTGAATGTGTTGATTCCTGTTTTGTAATGCCAAGGAAAGCCAAAACAGTGAATATCTTCGTAACAATAATTTGTGCTGCAGATATTGTTGGATTATACGTATGGATACTTGCTACTGTACAACACAGTCTCTTGAGCCAGGATGCATGATCCTTATCTGTGATCTGGACAAGATGCTTGTTGTCTTGCATATTAGTGGAGGCTCACATGGGGAATGAGACTATTGTCTCAGGCTATATTGGGGGACCATTGTGTTTCTACACATTGCTTAGTATAGCCCTTCTGAACCTATCAGTTACAAATTCAATCAATTGTTTCATCAACGTTGGATCTCAATCATTGCAAGTAGAAAATGTGCTATATTATAATCTTTAATTCCAGTAAGTGTTTCTCCCATAATCGAATTCTGAGATTTGCTAGTATGACTTCTTTCTTGCACGAGGCATAATGTTTCTTACATGAGATATAACGTAATGTGGGGGGAGGTGGACCAAAATGAGTAAATACAGTTTCTGAGTGAAAAATAAGTATTTTAATCTACCTTTTTGTTCTGCTTAAAGGTGTCCTACAATTTGCGCATGCCATGAAATGGTAATTATTTGCATATGCTCACATCTTGTATCTTTCATACAAATTTCAGATTGTGCATTTCATTCATGGTGTGTCAGTTTAAAAGGCAAGCAATGTGCACAACATTATTCGGAAACAAAAAGGAATAAAGGATAGCAAATAAGAGAAAAATTGCAATATAAGTTATACAACTGAATATTTAATTTTTTTGATAATCTAAGTTTATTATTTTTGGAAATGCTAGAACTATGCTGGGATGCAAAATTGATATTACATTCAAGACCAAGACTTATTTATGTTTTTTTTTTTTTTTTCATAGCCAGAGTTGAAACAGCAGCAGATTTTAAAACAAGTATTTCAAATTGTTTCAAAGAGAGGAGATGAAGTGTGCAATTTTATAGAAGGAGGAGAGTAAGTGAGAACCTTTCTTATGTATTTTCCAAAAATTTGTAATGAGTCTTTTTTTTTTTTTTTTATGAAATTTAATCTTGAAAAAGCTGTTCCGTGTATTTATAAAACATGTCCTTAATTCCTAAGAAAGATGCAAAATAGTTAAAATAAATAAATGAATCATATCGAAAGCAAATGTAAGTCTTTGTATTTTATTTTTGTTTTGTTCAGTATCTTTAATTTAATGAAAAATTTTTTAAATAAATATTGTGGCGATTAACTTTGGTGTAAAGTACCGTAATTTCGCACGTATAGTCCGCACCATCGTATAGTCTGCAGACATGATTTTATATAAAAAAAAAAAAATTAAAAAATTGTCAGATAGTCCGCGGACTATACGTCCGAAATTACGTTTTTTTTTTAATACGACAATTCCCATGCTTTTTAAACACATCCTTTTGTTTGCGCAAATTTCTCACCGCTTTCTTGTCCACTCAAAATAACGGAGTAAATCCTAGTATAAAAATACGGTGCAGCCTTGGCGCGACTTTGAAAATTATCGCCAACACCAAAATGATCCAAAGAACGTCTATATATATACTATACAACGCATAGTATATATATACTATATACATATATATACTATGTTTAACTATATATATTTCTTTGAATGACCCGTTAACTACTCATCGTATATGTTTCCGTTTTTACTGCTCATCATAAAGTCGCCAAAAGTAGTCAAATCCCGTGTGCACCGGATACTAGGATTAAACCAATAACGGCCCGCTTCTCTATTTCCATCTTTTTCAGTTTTCTCGACTACCTCTCAGCAGTAAATCTCCGGCGATGTTTCATCAACGTTAGCGAAGATGAAAGACAAAATACGAAAACAAAATACTGTGCAACGTGCTATCCTCGTGATAAGTGGTAATGAAACGTGACCTTCGACCCCACTCACTCGGTGTCGCCAAACCACGCTATAAGTAAACGAATCACGGTTTTTTTTTTTGTACTCCAGGTACTTGCTACTATGGCTCCTAAAAACCGAGTTGACGCATCAACTACTTTCCCCTTCCCGGCAGTTGTGCTAAAGCAGTGCGAAGGATACTTGGAATCTCACGCTTTTTTTATATTTGATCATCGGCAGTTCACGACAGCGTGTTTTTTAAATTTCAACAATTTTAACCATGAACAACCAGCGTATTATCCGCACTGGTGGATAGTCCGCAGCTTCAAAAATTCGCATTTTAAACACAGATAGTCTGCGGACTATACGCGCGAAATTACGGTAATATTAAAAATGAACAACTGAGTTTGAACTTCTCATAGAATTTTAAACAGCTATTATTGATATTTGCTTTATAAAATTTATTTTAATGAAAGACTTAAATTAGTACATTTTTTGACAGAAAAAATAGATACGATTTTAATGAAGAAACCTGGAGATTTTTATTTTTATGAAAGAAGGTGAAAAGCAGCATTCAGCACTTTTTTATACAATGATTGCCAAATATATGACTATTTGTATTCCATAAGGACAAAGCAGTTTTTGCTAAAAATGTTTCGATTGACTGCACAAGAACTTTGCACTAGGAAAAAAAGTGTATTTTTTCTATAGCCTTAACAGTCAAACATACTGTCGTACTTGAAACATTTTGCAATAGAATATAACAGATTTTGGATTTGGTCAGATAGGTATTGAAGTTGTAGAATGGTCGTAAATGGAAATTCGTATGGATGCAAATGACAATGAGATCTGAATAGATGATTCTTGTATTTCCTTTCCAGCAACAAAATCATTTTATCTCTCACTACTGTATCTCTGATGATTTTATCAGCATACGATTCTTTATGTTATCATCTCTAATCCTTCTAGTGTGCGCGCTCTCATTTCTGTTTTGATGGCAGCTACTGCTCAACACGTATGTTGTTTTTACATTGAGGAGCGATATAGAAAATATACAGTCTGGTTTTGTCACTCTACGCTTCAATTAGTGAAAATTAAAAAAAAAAAAATTCTTTACTATATGACTACAGCCTGTGACAGCTTAAAAATGGCTCTTGTTGCGATACTACAAACAGTTTTCTGAGCACTGCTAGTTGAATACCGAACATTCTGTACTGAGATGAACAATGGTTCATACAAGTTTCATATGCCAGAAATAAAATATGTAATTGGAGATTACATCATAATTATGAATAATGTCAAGGTAAAAAGTTAAATTTTAAAAATGCTATGATTCAAATGGGCTTAAAAACAGCTAAAATATGTAAATGAAGTAAATATTACAGTTCAGTTGGCATAAACTGTGTGTAGTGGAGACAGGTTCTTAATAGGACTTTTCAGTTCGCTAGTAAAAGCCTTTCGTTTTACCACCCAAACATTTCCATCACTACCAGAATAGATTTAAAAAATTTTGCCAAGCTTCCATTTCAAGGGTGACAGATTATCTTCAACATTAAATCATCCATTGGTAAAAATATATTTACAGGTACCCCTTGGCGAAAATCATTGATTTTTGGCGGTACCTGGATACCGGGTTTGTGCCATTCTTTGACTTGTTATTTTGGCTTATGTAGCAGGGATTTTTACCACTACACAAAGCCAAAATAACTAGACAAATAATTGCACAAACTTGGTATACAACAAAAATCACCGCTACGTAAGCCAAAAAAACAAGTCAAAGAATTGCACGAACTCAGTATCCATGTACACATCGACCTATTTTCACTTAAAAAAAATCAGAGAATTGCACACACTTGACATTGCACACTCCGTTCACTTTATACATGTACTCATTGACCTATTTCCATTAAAAAAAACATCAGAGAATTGCACAAACTAGGCACTGCACACTCCCTTGACTTCGTCCATGCACACATTGAACTATATTCACTTAAAAAGTCAAAAGAGCAAGCAACCAAAAAATATATAATCTCAATAAAGTACATTTTAAATCAAACAATGAAATAACATAAAAAAGGAAATATCCACTTACCTTATCTATGAATTAACAGATAATTAATTATCTATGAATTATTATTAATTATCTATGAATTAATTTAGTCAAACAAAATTTCTTAACATCCAAAAACGTCCTAAAATTATCTGAACTAGAATCTGTATACTGGCATCATCACATAAATTCACAAAAATAAGAGTAAAAAATATCCTCCATAGTGCCAGTATCGTCTTACGTTCGACCATTCATATTTCCTTCCTACAAACAGGACACTTAATAATGGCTACTAAGTAAATCTTTATTTACACACCAGTCAATTAATGCTTTTCCCCTTTTGTTCTAAATCGTACAGAACTTCAAATTAATCTAACCACATTCAGCCATTTTACTGTGTGAACCACAAAATAACAACGTACTTATCGAAAATCCGGCGCTTACTTTCCATTTATTTTCCCATGATTCAAATTGATTGCAGTCATGCAACCAATTACATCATAATAGGGTTTCCATAACATTCAACTACTCAGGCCACCATAAATGAAACGACAACTTTGCGGTAATACAAGGCGTACTCTTCTCTCTACTTTAACCCATCCATTTTTAAGTTTGGTTTAACTTTTACCTACTTTGATCTTTTTGATCATTGTGAGAGATAATCTAATGATCAGTGTTTCCAGAAGTCTTGAAAATGATCTTGAATTAATCTCTGTTACTCAATAAGAAAAATTTTAGAACTTATGTATCATAATCAGGTGTGTAACTGAAAGCAGCTCCTATGACATAATGGCCAAGCTTAAGAGCATTCACATCATTAGGATCATTGGATAAAGCTACAGTGGGTTTTGAATTTAAATGCAGCTTTAGTTGTGTTATTAAAGTGATAAACACTTCATAAGTTAAATCTGCATACTAGTAGTTCTTTCAAGATGAGTTTTCAATTGCTTCCCTCAGCCCCCCAAAGGCCACCAAAATAGGAAGCTGAAAGCCAGTTAAAATTCCAAATGATATTTTCTTCTGCAAGATAGTTTTAAAGGTTTTCATGTGACAAAACCCACTGTAGCTTTATCCAATGATCCTAATTAATGAATTTTGCAATTTTTTTTTAAAATCTCAATCAACTCTTTTAACATTTAATACTCATATCTTTGTCAGAAATATCTCGAGGCCTTTCTCAAAAGGCATCAGATCTTCTTAGCAGTGCTAGGAATGCTTCAGAACTCTGATTACTCACAACTTCTAAATGAAGTCTAAATTCTGAGCCTTATTAGCAAAGCATAAGAATAGATAAATGCAACATTTAGTTGGTTGTATTATACCTATTCCTTTTTGCATTTTTATCAGAAATGGCCTTGAAAAATCAATTTCAACTTTGGAAGATAATCTGTCTGGCACCATGTGAGAAGCTGAAAGATCAGCCAAATCTGTATAACTCCTGAAGCATTTTATGCATTTTCAGCTATTTCATCATACTGAATCTTGAATATTATTATTTTTGATGGATGAAATTGTTAATAAAAGAACTACAGAATTAGAAGCTCTTTTGGTCATAATTAAAAATTCAAACTTTTATTTTGATAAGGTAGCTGTAATTAGAATAGCCTGCAAAAAATAATAAGCTAAATCAGATGGTGCTGTGCTAGCTAAAGAACCAGTATCAGCAGCTTTTCACTCCAACTATGTCTTGGAGCTTCATTTTGTTGTTTAGGTCAGAATGAAAAATGCTAACCTCCTCCTACAACTATTTCAAGGCTGAATATGTGATCATGACAAATGTCATTGGAGGACTTTTGCCAGTGTTTAAAAGTGACATTCAGAAATCTGAGTTAGTGGGGGGAGAAATCTCTTTCATAGCACACCTGCTGTTTCATTAGAATTATATTCTCCATTCCTAAGTTTTGCAAGGGAAAAACAATCCATCCACCCCCCCCACACAAAAAAAAAAAAAAAAAAAAAAAAAAAAGAAGGGGAAATGATGGTGATCCAAAATTTGGTATTAGATCATTACTTCCAGATTTCAGGCTTTGCACTGTATTATTTCTATTTACATGGATTGTGTATTTAATATATAATTTATTTGAATGTTTTTATAAGCCTTTAATTAGCTCATGGTCAAAAGTTTGTCATTGATTTTTAAAGAGTAACTATTGTGTTTGTAAAAACTGTAGTATTTTCATAATGTTTTTGGCTATGGTATTCTTATAAGCTTTTATTTAGCTCTTTCTTGGTGTTTGTCTTTATGCTCAAGAGCTTGTCTTGAATTTTAAAAGAACATTCTAACAAGTTATCGTGTTCAAATTTTGTACAGACGTTGTTTGCAGATTACAACACTGTGCAACACACATTATTTGTGGGGTTTAACAATGTTTTTCAAAATTCAGTTTAGATTTTTTTAAACTTAATTTTGAAACAATTTTTCACACCTATCTCCATATCTGAAGGCATTTCTCCTTCTAGGCTCGTCATTAATTAGGCTTCATGAGATTTTTCTATATTCAATTAAAACAAAAAACAAACATGTCTTAAACTGGGCTTCAGCAAACTATTTTATATCAAGTGTAACAATGAGTTGCAGATGTTAGTGTAAACAAAATGTAGAACACAGTATATGTATTACATATATATAATATATATATATATAAAGTACTTACACAGTATTATAGTATACATGTAATATGTTCAGATTTCAAACTATTATTTTATATCAAATGCAACCCTGAATTGCAGATGTTATAATGTAAGCTAAATGTAGAACAATTCTATATGTATAATACGCTCAGATTTTTAAAGTCTTAATAATCACAAATTGCAAAGCTGATCCCACCAATCTGGAGGAATGTCCCTTCGAGGGAATGGTATTCAGGTCTGTCTACAAAGTGCACTATGTGGCAAATCTCTTGTTTGGCCAGCTTTTTGTAAGGGGTGATTGTGCTCCCAGTAGGTACAGTAGAGCAGTGGAGCAATACGTTTGAATTCGGTGAAGTTTTCTTGCTCCATCCACTTTCCCTTCCCCCATCATAGTATCTGAACTGTGCTTAAAGTCATATTGGATATATATTTCAACATCACAGGAATTTGAGAGGCATTTAAAATGTTGGGAAATATGCTTGTTGCAGTATAGATACTATAAAACAATGTAGTGTGTATTAACACAGTATCTGTGTAACTAATTTCTGTATAATTTATGCATGTAAAATATAAATGATTATGATTGATTTTGTTTCATCAGTTATAATGTACATGTAAATTTTCTAGAGGATAAGATTTGTTATTAATCTGCGTTTTTATGTGCTGTGTAGTACTTAAACATGTAAAGGGGAAAAAGTACTGTAAATTTGAGATGTATTTTTTGCAAAGCAGAAAATGATTACTAAATGCATCATAACCATTCCATTTAACTGTTGTTTGTTAGCATTTACATAGAAGAAAATTGAATGAAGATTTTTTAATGAGATTTGTTGTGCTTGTATTTGCAATTTGGAAATCTGATTTTTTTAATAACATAGTTTTAATGCTAATAAATTTGAATTCCATTTCTTATTCATCTGCAATTTAATGATGAAATTTATGATTTGATATTTTTAAAGTATTTTAGGTGATAAAAATCTGAAAATAATTTATCGACATTATGCAACTCTATATATTGTATTTTGTGTTGACCCTTCTGAGAGTGAACTTGCAATATTAGATCTGATACAAGTAAGAAATATTATTTTATCTTTGAATACATAATTTATCATGTCTTATGATTTAACTTTTATTATTATTATTGAAAAAAATAATAATTGTTTCTAATTGTTTCTAAAAAATAATAATTTCTAATTGTTAATATAAAATGTTGCTGTACTTTTTTAGAATTGTGAATTACTTTGAAATAAATTTGTTAAATTATTCATTGTAAGCTTATATATATATATATATATATATATTGTAATTTGAAAATAAATTCTTCAGAGGTGTTGTTAATCATACTAAATGTTAGATAGTAATATTTTGACATTTATTTTGATAGGATTAAAATCTGTATTTCTGGGGGGAAGAGAAGATATTTTTCTACTTGAGAATGCTGTTATTGCTAAAGTCTGAAGCCAGTGTTAATTTCAGTATATTGGTATAGCCCATTTATGAAAATTTTTTCACCTTAGAATGTGTTTAGTAATTATCTGTATTGTAGGATACTTTCTTAAAGTAAATTTTTTTAAAAAATGTAATTTTTTTAATAGTCATGTAAAAAATAGGGGTGGGAAAACTGTACTGTACCAAACAGCAATGTGCAGTTAACATAAACAAGACATTAACGAAGAACTAATGAAAAATGCAAATGTCTCCAGGAAAAGCAAAAGAGAAAATCGAGAGAGACGTTTAAATTACTTTTCTAGAATGTTTTCAAAATGTAAATCTGAAAAATTTTTCTATTTCAAGACCTTATTTACTTCCTAATTGCTTGAAGAGAATTTTAAATCAACTGGCATAACTATTGCAGGAAAAAATCCACCATTATTAATGAGAAATTGCATGTTGAGAAGGAAGAAGCAGATCGTCATGCAGCTGATAACTAGGTAAATTGCTGGCAGACACATTTATATTTAAAAGTGAAACAGCAACTGGTTTAAGAAAATGAGGGTATAAGTTACTGTTTTATTAATGAGCAGTAGGGACCTAACTATTAAGAAGGCAGCACTGATTATTATGCCGAAAGCAGAAAATCTCAACTTTAAGTAAATTTTCATTTAATCTACTATAAAAACATAAACTCATGAGTGATAAAGAGTTGCAGTGAACTGAAAAATGAAAAAATAGATTTACTAATTAAATAACTGTGCAGCACTTTGATTATTGATAAAAGGTGTAATTAAAGATGCTGTAGCAGAAGAGAGGGAAATTTTCCAAACTATTTTTTAATAAGATGCCTTCTCAAAAACATTAGTGTCTCTTCCTACAATTGGAATTTCTAACATTCAGCCCTTCTTCATTTTAGGGTGTTTGTTTTAAAAGCTTTCAAATGTCTTTACAGAAAAGATGTTTAGTAAATGATGAGCGGAAATGAATTTTGGGAAAATGCAAGTACTTTTAAGGTGATAAATAAGTTGATATCTCTGCTAGGGGGTATGCATATTATAGATAGTCAATATGGGGGTTAATCTCTTAAAATCAATTAAAAACATCTTTTTTTTTTTTTTTTTTTTTTTGTAGAAGGAGCTTCTGAGGAATTGCAAATTAGAGCTAATGCTTCAGATATCCCTAAAGGAAATTATGATGATTGATTTTTAGAATATGTGTCAATTCAAAACCATATTGAAACAACGTGTGTAAAAACTGCCAATGAAAGTATTGAAAGATCTGCAAAAACTATCAGTGAAAATAGTACAGAAAAAGTTATGACATGCCATCATCAACAAAATCTAGAAAGACACTGCACATATTTAAGAAAAGTTCTTGAACTGAAGGGTTTGATCAAAAATGCTACCAGTAGTTTTAAAAAATTTTGAGTGAAGTTGGAAAACTGAATTATATGAAACGAACACAGAATAGGTTTTTGTCAGCGATAAAATTTGATCACAAACTTATTATAAAAATAATTTTATAAAAAAATTAAGAAATGACTTTCAAATTTGCGTAAATAACTTAATTTTAGTATTAGTTTTTAATTATTGTTTTATGATTAATAATTGACTGATTGTTAGTTGTTTTACTTGAAAATTTTGAACTGATATCACTGTTTGTAATGCTCAGATCAGTGTCTACTAAACTCAGCTGCTTAATAAACTTAAATATGGTTGGAATGGAAGTGATTGTAATCAGCAGTGGGCACCGTGTATGTTTTGAAATATACGAAACAGAAAAATTCAGCTTTAGGAGATATGCATTTAGTAATAATGCACAGCTACAAGGGAAAAGAGAATGCAGAATTAATATCAGAACAGAAAAGAAGCCATATACCAAACTGTTGCTCACAGAAAGTTTCCAGAGTTGAAATATAATGTGAGGAAGAACTATCGTGTGCAGAACCTGCTGAGTCTGTAACACAGAATGTAATTCAACTGCTCTCATGTAAGAAGCAACTGATGTCAAACTCCTGAAGAATTTTCATGCTAGAAATATGGAGCTGCTGCTGGAAGAAACTTTCATTCTGGATATGAAATTTAAGTTGTAAGATAACCAAAGGTGAATATTGATTCTTACTTCCTTGAATGTAAATATGAAGATAATAAATTTTTCATCTGGTAATAATTACAAAAGCACCAGCAAAGTATTGAATATGTAGTGGCACCTGTACAGTGTTACCAAGAATTACCAACCATCTACAAAGCAGGTATTTTTAAAGTGCTCTGCAGCTTTTATGCTTAATTTAAAGTGCTCTGCAACTTTATTCTTTTTTGGTACTTAATTTGCTCTGATGTAAACGAATCTGAGAGGGGGGACATAAAATATTCAGTACGTTGAAGTAAAAGCTTCAAAAGAAAGTTAAGAAGAGTTTCTTGAACCTGATTTCATATTGTGTCTTAGTTTAAATAAGTAGCTATAACTGCAATGAAATATACGCTCTTTTCTGGACTATACTGTACAGTACATGTAGTGCCATATACACACACACACACACACACAAAAAAAAAAAAAAAAAAAAAAAAAATAAAAATAAAAAATTGCTTGTATGGTTGTGAAAATACTAAAATATATGTGCAGGGCCCACCCATGGCTAAGTGAATAAAATTCTTGTATTCTGGAAGTTTAACTTCAGCTTAAATCCTGGCAAATGGTCTGATTGCATGTGTGTTTTTCCTCTTAAGTATTATCAAATCCCACAAACGGGGTGGCTGTATGGGCGTTTTTGTGGTTTTCCCCATGTCTAACATGTATACAAGCCAGTTTCCTTTAGAAAGTCTTCCACGAAGGCATCCCTCTCCTTAGGCAGATAGCCCTAGTGTGCTTTGTCGTATTCTCACTACACCACCACATCACCTCTTAAGTATTGTGAATATAATATGAGCCATTTTCTCCTAGGTAGCCTTCTTTAAAAGCATCCCATTCCTTTAGATAGTCTTTAATTACTAGGCCATATTCAATTAAATCTATGTGCATTTACTGGCATTGTTGTCAGTTATCATTCCATCTACTAATAAAGTAGATAAGACCTCTAAACATCCCTTTCATCTGATAGTGATGTAATGGAAAGACTGTTATAAGGAGCTATTTTTGACTGTATTTCATTGTATTAGAATGTGTAATCTTTAATAATTAAATTTATGAAAACTATTTGTTTTCAGTAAATATATTTTTGAAAGAATTCAGTGAATTTAAAGAAAGAAGAAAATGGTATTGTGATTCACATTAAAAACTATTGTGATTCACATTAAGTAGTAATAATTGTTATCAATTTATCTAGTATACTAAAAATAAAATCAATCTGTATATCTAAATGCAGTTGTTTTGTTGTATGAATTCGCTTTTGTGACGGTAGATTGCAGTTTAACTGGACTGTCTTACACTTAATTGGAAGTTGTTGTTAATGAAGAAAGATCTGCACATTTCTAACAGTGAATTTACCTAGAAGTGGATTTTTCATTAAACTGTGTAACTTAAAATAATGATTGCTGTTTTGGTAGGTTTAAATTCTATGAGTTTGATGATACAGTGCCATTTGGCAACTTCCCAGATTCTCAAAAGTTAGGTTAAAAAATTTAGAGAGTCACCAAGCTGATTGATTTCACATCAAAAATATAAAATAATTAATGAAATGATAAAAAGTGGAACAGACATATTATGGCTGTGAACACAACGTAAATTAAAATGAAAGTTTGGATAGAACTGATGCATGTATAATTACATTAAAAATTAGCTTAAAATACAAGAAAAGCTGGAAATCATTTCATTGTAGAAAGATGTCTCATATTTTAATCATGGTATTTACATAATAATAAATATTCTGGTTATGGGTTAAATATATAGCTCTGGGGAAGTGCAGTAAAAATTGATCAAAATAGTAGTTTGTTTTACATTGCTTGCAATTAGCAAACTGAATCAAATTAAAAATTCCAAAAATGCAAGGCCACCAGTGACTGAGCAGTAAAACTTCTAAATACAACTAGTTTAACATCAGTTGAAACCAATGGTGAAAGGATTGGCTATGTGGGAGTGTTTTTTGTTTTCCCCATGAATATGAGACATTTTACATAAAAAGTCTTTTCTTTGAAAATACATTTTTCATTTGCTTAGTTTTATTTTGAACACTTTGCAAGTTGCATTTTGGTTTGTTTTAATCATTTTTTTTATATCATGCTGGAATTTTCTGCCCTTCTCCTTATTATCTCATGATACATGATTGAGGCTTCGGGTTTTTTCTAGTTTCGTTATTTGGCGAAATGACTGTGAGTATGCTTTCAGATGTGTCATGTGATTCATTTTTAGAGCTAATCTCTTCAGGCGATAAGGCAGGGATTTCTTTTACTATCTGGACAGCTGTAATATCCATTTAACCTTCATATTCTTCTATTATCTGGACAGCTGTAATATCCATTCAACCTTCATATTCTTTTAAAATATCAGAAATTAGATTTTTCAGTTTAATATCATCTTGGATAAAATCTGTTCATTTAAAATGTCTGCTGTCTTTATCTTAAAATATCATCTATTTTTATACCACCAACTAAAGACATGATTTAAAATTAAGACTCTGTAGTGTTTCCCTAATTTTTAGGCTT